ATGAAATTTTAATAATAAAATATGAATACATAAAATGCATCTTTGACTCAAAATCATTACATATTTCCTTTGTAAGAATCTTCAAACACTCAGTTTTAAGCACTTAAATTTTTAGCTAAATAGAAAGTTAAAACTCAGAGTTTAACAAAGAAATTCTTATTAGAGGAAGATTTCAAATTATAGCTATTTTCTTTATATTTTAGGCATGAAAATAAAATAAAAAGTAGATCACTGTTTTCTAACAATCCTTTAGCTATTTTGGCATTTTGTTCACAAGTTTTACAATGATTACATTAACAAACTTGCAACATATATAGTTCAAACATTTTATAAAAGTTAATACTGGAAAATAATTTCTGTTACCAGTTTCTTCTAAGAAATTATGGAGATCCTTTAAATTGTAGGCTTTCAAAATCATAAATAATACATGCAAACCCAGCAGAAATGATAGTACAGGAAACAGTTAACTGGACTGAATAACTTTGAAGGCTGAAATTTTGAAGCTAAAGAAAATGCTATTTATATAATTATACTTTGAACACAAAAGTCATCCAATTGTCTATTATCTCTGTGTTTGTTCCAGAGAAGAGGGGATGGAAAACTAAAATTCCCCTAAGACTGACTGTAGATTCTCTGTAGTAAAAAGTAAACACTTTCAACTGAGTACTGTTGATTGTGGTTTATGCAAAATTCAGCTCATAGGGTGCTAGACACTTGAGAATCACAAATGTCAAGTCACTGTGTACGGTGCTAAATTTAACAGTTAATATTACATTTTATGTCCTTTTTATGTATCATATTAGATGCTTTTAATAGGTTTACCCATAATTCAGTACTTAGAAACATTGTGTTAAACTAATCAAAAGATGATACAATTAAGAAAACAATCTATATTCCCTTTATGAGACAATCCAAAATAAATCTATTCTTATGTAAATTATACCTTAAATATCAGACATATGCTAGCTCCTACTGTTTTTTTGGAGACCCTGTCTCAAAAGGACCAAAAAAAGTTTTATTTTGTTAATTCTGTTACTTTATGTGTATGAGTGTATTATCTGCATGCATGTTAAGTGCACCTGTGTTGCTCAATGCCTAGAGTTCAGAAGAGTATGTCAGAACCAGAACTGGAGTTTTTGACAGTTGTTAGCCACCATGTGGGTGCTGAAATTGAACCCAAGTCCTCTGCAAGAGCATCCAGTACTCTTAACCACTGAGCCATCTTTCCAGTCCTAGATCCCACCCTTTAAACTGAAATCTAGTAAGAAATTTTATTTGGCAGGATAGGAGGAAGGGCACCAAAGATAAAAAAACAAAGGTCCCATTAGGAAAGTGCTTTGTTTATGTGCCACCCGAACTGCAAGATCCATAAAATTTCCAGTTATTTCATACAGATACAGACTGTTGAATGTGTTCTATGAATGGGGCTCAAGAGTCCTCATTTCTAGCAAAGTAAACACTTTCAGTCCAGAAGGACTTCATCATTGGAAGTCCAAGATTATCAGAGAACCTTGTTACTGGGGACAGAAAATGTCCTAGTGTGTTTGACTTACAAATATAGAAATGAAGAAGAGATGGAGTGAGATGTCAGCATGCTTTAATAAGCACTACCTAATTAAAATGGAATATGTATGGGCATTCTCCAAAAAGTAAAGAAATAAAATCTACCCTTGCTGACAAGTATATGAAAAGCAATCTTGATATAATTAATCATTAAGGAAATGCACATCAGAACCTCAGTGAGCACCACTCCACTGCAGTGATATATGCTATTATTTTTAAATTCTGATGAGTTCTTGAAAAAGGAAGAAATCATATACACTATTGATTGTACTTTATGTTGCTACAGACATTGTAGAGTACAGAAGGGAAGTTCATTCAAAATCTAAAGAAAGAATTTCCATCTGAAATACAAATCTCACCACTTTGGATATACACCCAAAGGAAAAACTCATATCTAAAAGACGCTGGAATGCCCATGAATATTGAAGCAGCATTCGCCATAGCCAGTATGGAATCAGTTCTTACAGAGATTCTTATGAACTTTCTCAAAAATTTTAATATAGAAGCAGAATGTGAACCAACAGTGTCAGTACTGGATATCTACCCATAGCAAATTTAACTTTTCAAAGATTCTACATGTCCAT